AGGCAGAGACAGAGAAGAGAAAGGGGTGAGAGGAGAGGGAAGGGAGGAAGAGAGAGGGGAAAGTCAGCCAGTAGGAATGATAGGATTCTGACGCTCACTTCCAGCCAGCATGAGCTACATTCCTGCAAGCTGAGCACGAGTGGAATTTCCAGCCTAGGTAGCAGAATGGAACTTGGAACAAAAAGCTCAGCAGAAAAGAACCCAGGGACAATGGAGCCCAGGCCCCCACTGCCCTGGGCCGGCTGTTGAGTTCATAGAATCTCGGTGTGGAGGCCTGGGCCTCTGTTCAGACCGGATGAAGAACCTTCACAACACAGGCTGAAAAGAATCTGGGGATAATCTGAGTCAAAGCCAGCCCCGCCAGGAAAGTTCATGAGAATCATCTACACACACACACACACACACAAACACAAACACACACACACACACACAGTTTCCCGCCAGGAAAGGGAGCAGCTTGGTGGAGGATGGACTTAACTACAAGACAATGACAGCTACACAGACACACTGGCATCTCCGCTGGCCTGACCTGAGTTTCTTCTTCGTGATCAATCACACTGACAAACTGTGCTAAGAAATTCTGCTGTGTCGGTCTTTAAGGGCTGTTCTTTTGCTCTGCTATTTCTCAAGACATTAATTTCTTCAAGGATGTATTATTGATGAGGACCAATGGCCGGGGAGCCATTGTCATCTAGATCTTGTAGATTAGAAGGAGTTGAAGGCAGGATCCAGAAATCACTCAATTTTGAGTAAGGTGCACATTGTCTTAAAAAATAGGAAAATAAGCTGGGTACCAATGGCTCACGCCTATCACCCTCGCTACCCAGGAGGCTGAGATCTTGAGGATCACCGTTTGAAATCAGCCCAGGCAGAGAAATCTGTGAGACTCTTATCTCTGAATAATAATGAGTCAGGGGCTGGGGGAACTGGCTCAGTGGTACAATGCTTGCTGAGCATGCATGAAGTCCTGGGTTCGATTCCTCAGTACCATATACACAGAAGTGGAGCTGTGGTTCAAGTGGTAGAGCGCTAAACTTGAGCAAAAAGAAGCTCAGGGACAGCACCCAGGCCCAGAGTTCAAGCCCCACCATGACACACACAAAAAATTAAAAAAAAACACAATTTCGATTAGAGATATTAAAGGAGGGTAGGGGTACTGGGTGGGCAGTACTAAATTTGGCTAGCATCACAGGTAGGTGACTGGTGTCACAGAAGGTAAGTTACCTACATGCCCAGCCTGAGGAGCTGGGAACAAGTCTCTGTGTGGGAAGTAACGTACTGACCAAGGCTAGCTAGGTTCCTTGAGACACTTCAATGATGTTGAGAAATGAAGTCCTGAATGGCATGGGTTAGTGGCTAGGTAGAGGGCAGGACTGTTCAAAAGGGGGGAAACCAAGAAGACTCGCTGCCCTATTTGCTATCTACCCCCTGGGACTAATGACATTTCCTGAAGTGCTTGTGACAGCTTTCCCTTGCCCTTTGGAGGAAGTGGACAGGTTACACGCATGCACAGATCTCACAGATGGATGGACAGATAGATAGATAGATAGATAGATAGGTAGAGATGATAGTTTATTTTCTAGGGTCCAAAGACATTGAGTTGGGAAAGCCAGGTGTAGCCTGAGTATTTTGGTTCCTACTGCTATGACATTCCATGTCATTTGTCTCCTTTTTTACTTATTTTTTGGATGGTCCTGGGGCTTGAACTCTGGGCCTGGGCACTGTCCCTGAGTTCTTCAGCTGAAGGCAAGTGTTCTACCACTTGAGCCACAGCGCCACTTCCCGTTTTCTGTTGGTTAACTGGAGATGAGTCTCAAGGACTTTTCTTGCTCGAGGCTGGTTTTGAATCGAGATCCTCAGATCTCAGCCTCCTGAGTAGGTAGGATGACAGCGTGAGCCACTAGTGCCCGGCTATTTGTCTCCCTTTTTTTTTTTATCAGGCATAGGAGCCAAGGATAAAGTTGGTATCATCTAAATGCAAGGATGGGACATACTGTGTGTGTGTAAGTGTGTGTGTGTGTGTGTGTGTGTGTATGCAGGTCCTGGAGGTTGAACTCAGGGCCTGGGTGTCACTGTGGCTTTTGTGCTCAAGGCTAGCGCTCTACCACTTGAACCACAGCTCAACTTCAGGCTTTTTTAGTTAATTGGCTAATTTGGTTGACTGGAGATGAATCGCACACTTTCCTGCTTGGGCTGGCTTTGAACTAGGATCCTCAGATCTCAGCCTCCTTGTAATCTAAGATTACAGATGTGAGGCACCGGTGCCCAGATCTCATCTATCAATAATAAAACCAGTTGACATTGTTTTAAGAAGGGAAGGAGGAGCTGCAGCGCACATCTGTATCCTAACTACACAGGAGGCTGTGATCTGAGGCTCCAGGATGAAAGCCAGCTGAGGCAGAAAAGTCTTGTAAGACTCCATTTCCAATTAGCCGGCAAAGTGTTGGATTGTTCCAAGTGGCAGAGCACAAGCCATGAATGAAAACACCAAGCTAGAACATAAGGCCCTGGGGGCAAAGTCAACCAACTAACCAACCAATAAATGAGGGAGAGAGGTGGTAAATTTGACAGTGACTCCCTCCCATCACTTGGTGTTTTTATTTAAATCGTCTATTGGCTCATGTCAATTATCCTAGGGACTCAGGAGGCTGAGATCTGAGGATGATTGTTTTTGAAGCCTCTGTTCTCCGATTAACCAGCAAAAAGTTCCCAGTGGAGTTGCGGCTCCATGGGTAGAGCACTAGAGCAAAGGGGCAGTCACCAGGCCCTGAGTTCAAGCAACACACACACACCCTAAAAATAAGAATCTATCTCTGCTGGGAGTGTGGCACAAAGGTCAGAGGTCTCTATCGGGTTCAGGGCTGAGCATGGGATACCAACCAGCTCACACTCCGTGTGTAACCGGTGCCTCCCCCCCTCCTTTACTATTTATTTGCAGTGCTAGGGATGGAACCCAGGGCCTGGCCTGGTGTTCAGCCAGCTCTACCATTGAGCCCAGCTCTCCGCCTCCATCCCCTTATTTGTTGGCAAGAACCAAGGGGTGGGGGGGGGGGGAAAGGCTGGGAAGGTAGCTCAGTGGTAGAGTGCTCACCCAGCATGCATGAAGCCCTGGGTTCGATTCCCCAAGTATACAGGAAAAAAGCCGGAAGCGGTGCTGTGGCTCAAGTGGTAGAGCACCAGCCTTGAACTGGAGAGCTCAGGGACAAGTGTGCCCAAGGCCATGAGTTCAAGGCCCAGGGCTGGCACACACACAGAACTAAGAGAGAAGCTGAGGGTCGGATCCGTTGACCCGGGCCTGGCAGGGCCCTGCCCGATGTACACACCAATCTGTTCCTGCGGATCTCCCTATTGATTAGCAGGTGGGACTTAGCTCTAGGCCTGTGGGCACTCACACGTGCGGCTCCGCGCATGCGCGACCCGCCCGCACCTCCGGCCCCGCTGGGGTCCTGTCTAGAGCCAAGTCACCAAAAAGCCTACCCACGAGGCAACACGCTCGGCCAATCAGGAAGCCGGACTCCGCGAGTGACGTCACTTCGTTTTGCATAGATGCCTCCGCCTCTTCCCGGCTTCCGGACCCTCCTCTTTTCCCCCGCCCCCTCCCCTCCTTCCGCTCCGCCCACCGCGGGCGGGGATTGTCACCTAAGCGTTTCGTTCCGCCAGCTGATTGGCTCGTCGCTCAGGCCCCGCCTCCGTCTCCTCCCGCCCAACCCGCCCTCCGGCGCGCCCACAGCGGCGGGCGGAGCTCAGCACGCAGGCGCGGCGCGGCCTCTCTCTGCTGGTGGCCCGCCCTCCCTCCTTCCCCTTCCCTCCCCTCCCCGCCCCCTCTCCCCCTTCCTCTCCGGGCCTGCGCGCGCGGCTTCCTCCAGCACGCGCCGCCG